TCTTCTTCTTCTTCTTCTTCTTCTTCTTCTTCTTCTTCTTCTTCTTCTTCTTCTTCTTCTTCTTCTTCTTCTTCTTCTCCTTCTCCTCCTTCTCCTCCTTCTCCTTTTTCTTCTCTTTTTCCTCCTTCTCCTTCTCCTTTTTCTTCTCTTCCTCCTCCTTCTCCTCCCACCTCCTCTACCTCCTCCTCTTCCTCTCCTTCCCCCTTTCCTCCTCCCCCTTTTTCTCCTCCTCCTCCCCTCCCTCTTCCTCCTCCTTTTCTTCTTCTTTTTATGTATTTGGTACAAGGTCTCACTACACAGCTTGGACTCAGATTCATAGTGATCCTCCTTTTTTTAGCCCTGGGATTTCAGGGGTGTACCATCGTGGTGGCCGGCTCAGCACAGCCAGGGAAAGACCAGTATGGCACGTGGTGTGGGGGATCAAACCCCAATCCATGCACTTTTGCCTAAGCAGGCTCTTAGTCTGCTGAGCTATCTCACTAGCCCTGATGGTCTAGCTTCTTGAATTGAGGGAGTGGATTAATCAGCTTTCCAATTGCTAAACACAATACCTGACACCCAAAATGTAAACCAGCACAGGTTTAATTTGGCTCATATTTTAAGGGATTCAATCAATGATCAAGTGGCCCTAGAACAGAAATACCATGGCACAAGACCCTGATGGAGCAAAGCTGCTTAGTTCATAGTGAGCCAGAATAGAGCAGGGGCACAGAAGAGACCAGGGACCATGTATGACCCAAAATCACCGCCATAGTCTGCCCAGAACACCCAGTAATGTACTTTACTTATCCCTGGTCATTTTTAAGCCAGTCCAGTTGACACGATTAATGTTAACCACCACAGGGACTAAAGAAAGTAATGCCCAAGAGGATGCAACATAATCACTCATACCTTCTCACATGCAGCATGGTAGCTACAGCTTGGAAACATTGATTAGGGATCAAAGCCCCTTCACTTCTGAGGTGTCACTACTTGGCTGAGGAGTATTTTAACAAAGGAAAAGAAAAGCACCAGTGTGAAGGTAGCAGGTATCTCTCATGACACTTCCCTACAATGGTTGCTTTTGTTGTGTGTGTGGCCCACCAAGATGGAAAAACAGAGAGATAGCGTCTTAAAGGGCAAAAAAGTACTGAAGAATCAGGAAAAGCTAAGAACACAGTGCAAGGGCCAGCGAGATAGCTCAGCAGACTAAGCTTGCCTGTTTAGGTGAGCTTAAGCAAGCACAGGAGCCGTGGTTTGATCCTCAGCACCACATGCTATGCCAGCCCCAACTCCAGAGCAGGCTGGACCGGTCAGAGTCCAGGCGTAGTGGTACATGCCTGTAATCCCAGCACTGAGGAGGCTGAAAGCAGGAGGATCACTGTGAGTTTGAGCTGAATAGTGAGATCCTGCAACAACCAAATAATTTTTTTAAAAAAAGAAAATAATGCAAATAGTCAAGTTATTTTTCAGGATATTCACCCTCAGCAACCTGTTGTATATCATGGACAATGCTAGTCAGCACGACTGCTAAGTTTACTGGGTCAATTTCCCAGGACAACCTGAAATTTAAGGAGATGGGTGAATTCCTGAACTCTGTCCCTTTCACAGTTAGCAAATTACACTCCTCTCCACCCCTTCCCTCCCTTACCCCCTCTTTTCCTCTCCTCTCATCTTCTCCATTCTCCTCCTATCTCTTCTCTTCTTTTTTTCTTTTCTTTTCCTTTTCTTTTCTTCTCCTGGGCATTGAACCCAGGACCTTTGTGCTGAGCTATAGCCATGTCCCTTTCTGGATTTCCTTTCCATGACAGAGTAGCACTCTGCTTTACGGAAGCGCCACCCTCTCTTTATTCATTTACCTGCTGCTAGGCCTGCTTCCCAGACTGAAGTGGTGTCAGATGTGCTGCTATAAACATGGCTACACATAAGTCACTTTAATATGATGCTTATCTCTTTTAGGAAGATGCTAGAAGGGAAGCTCCTGAGCCAAGTGGAATTGTTAATCTTAGTTTTTTTAAATCTCTATACTGATTCCCATAGTGTGTCCACTAGTTTACATTGTCACCAACAATGTGCAAGAGTTCCTTTTCCCCTCTAATCTCACCAGCACTTGTTATTTGATTTCTTGATGACGGCCATTCTTTCTGGGGTAAAATGAAATTCCGGTGCTCTTCTAATTTGCATTTCTTTACTGAGCAGTGGTATGGAGCGCTTCCTCGTGTACTTACTGGCCGTGTGAGCTTCCGCTTTGTGAGGCGTCTTCTCATTTCATGGTCCCTTTTTGACTGAGCCTTTTATTTTGGGAGTCTACTTTGGATGCTACCCTCTGTCTGAGGAGTAGCTGCCACACTTAATGTATATTTCTTGTCTGTCTTCAATGGGCCACAGACTGTCCCTTACTTTTCTAAGTGTTGTGTAGAAGTGTTCAGTGGATTCTCTTTTTTCAGTGAGAGAAGGAAAGGTGAAAGGAAAAGGAAATGGGAATATAGACCACAGATTTTCAGTAAAAGTTGCTGACAATTTTTTGAACAGGATGAGATAAAAGCTCCCATAATCTTATTGTCTGTCTCTGTCTCTCTCTCTCTCTGTCTCTCTCTCTGTCTCTCTGTCTCTCT